CCCCAAAACCCCAAAACCCCAAAACCCCACGAATGCATAATAGATATATATTCTTCGTCAAATTTTTAATTGATAAATAAACTTAAAAGATAACTTTCTAAATGGTTGAAGAAATAAACTTGGCTGAAGATAGGAAGAAAAAATTAAGAAAAATTCTTAAAACATCCCCTGAAAAGAGATGCGATGATGATATTAAATTGATAGAAGCATTAGTTGAGGTAAATATTACTCAAAGTTCAAAAACAATACAGGATAATAAATTCTTGAAGCAATTTAAGGGAACGGTTAAACTTAAAGAACTGTGTAAATATATGAGAATTCAGCATTTCGGAGCTAGAGAGACTATTATATAGGAGGGAGACATAGGTGAGACGTTTTATATTATTTACTCTGGAAGAGTGAGTGTTTATAAGCAATAGAAGAGCGAGTTCTCAGATTCTGTTATTATGGTAATATAAATTTGCTTTTTTACTTAAAAATATTTTATCAGACTCATTTAACTGAATTGGGTAGTGGAGAATAATTTGGAGAGCTTGCATTACTTTAAAAAGCACCAAGATCAGCCACTGTTATAGCATCTATTCCTACTGACTTAATTGTACTTGATAAGACAACTTATGAGAATGTCATCCAAGTAAAAATCAGTTTTTAAATCTTATTTTTGACTTTAGAATCTACACTTCTATTAAATTGATGGCACGATTGAATTCTTTTAACATCTACCCTTGTTTCAGCATCTAAACAGAAATGAGTTGTTTAGTATAGCAAGCAAATGCTAATATAAGAGATTCCCAACTAATACCATAATTTTAAGACAAGATGATATCCCAAAATCTGTATACTTTATCAAGGCTGGTAGAATAAAGGTCTTGAAGAAGGTTGATTTTAAAATTCCTGAGGAAAAGTGGCAATTTTAAAATATTGATTATCTCATTTAAGATCCTAGTGAAGAGGACTATGAACTAGAATTAGTAGAATCTAAGCTACTTGAAATTGATGATTTGGGTAAAGTCAATAGAATTTTAATCTAAATATACTATAGGTAATGGAGATGTTTTTGCTGAAGATGCTATTATTTTGAAATAGCCTATAAAACATAGCATTATTACTGCCATTCCATCAGAGATTTTTATGCTAGATATGCATGACTTTCTTAGATTACATAAGGTATGAACAAGATATCAAAATCTAATGATTATAGTCAATAATAGAAAGCTTCCTTCAATTCTCAAAGCAATATCCTGATGATAAAGACCTACGAAGAGCTTTCATTGAAATGAATAAATGGACGAGATTTAAATAAGATATAGTTAAGACTGTTCATGCTGAAACTATTAACAAAAAACAGTAACATCTTTAGATTAACTTAATTTAGAAACTTTGAAAGATAACTAAGAAAGCCCCAGTAAATGCCTGTTAAATTCAAGCAGAAGGCAATTAATAAGCAAGATCAGGAAGATGCTTTTACAGAATAAGATGTGCTCAATACAAATTATCTTTCAAGTGTCGATTACATCTTTAAAGCTCAAAAGCAGAAGAGAAACATGCTTGAGGTATAGCACTAGCAATAATAATAATAGCAACTCTAAAACAATAACAACAACAATTGATTAATCTTCTAATGTTGATTCAATAACTTCTACAGATTTTATGTTAAAAGGATTCCGGGGTTTTGGGGTTTTGGGG